TTCGTAAATAGTCCCTCATCGCCTCATTGTATTCATTTCTTAATTCCGGAGATTTCTCAAGCCGTTTTTCGAGCTGGAATAAACGTTGTGCTGCTTGGTCTCTTGAGTCCTCCAATACTGGTGGATTTGGTTTAAAGGGCAGGTGGACTTTGTATCTCCCACATGGTTGACGCGACGTAGTAGTGGTATATATTCTTTCACACTCTTCTTCATCGGGACTACTTTTGACCACTGTAGGAACATCTTCAATGTCCAAAAAGCGTTGAAGCGTTCTGTCCACGGACTCCGTGGTTGCGCACATAGTGACGGACATTTTTGTTGGCGTATTAGATGTTGTACCCATCAATACCCAACCGAACACAGTTGATAAGGCAATTGGCTGAGTTATACTACCTTCTTTCTTCTCTCCTGACACAACGTAGGGGAAAACGTCCGCTCCAAGTAATAGATCAACTGGTAACGGTTCGTAATATTCCGGATCTGCTAAGTTCAACCCTTCAATGTGGGGCCATGGCGAGATCTGAATCCGGTTAGTCGGTATTGGTCCAGTAATTCGAGGTAAGATGAGGACATTTACTTCTAACTTAGGACTGTCATGACGAACCGGACGTACCGTTATAGTGGTACTCCCACGTACTACCGGTACCTGTGTACCCGACAGAGCTTGGACAGTAACTTTGGTCTTCTCTCTTGAAAGTCCTAAACGATACACGCAACTTTCCGTAATGAAACTACTTTGACTTGCACTGTCAAGCAAGGCCCTTACTGTTATAACTTCACCATTTTCATTTTGCACTTTCACTAAGGCCGTTGATAGCAAAATGGACGCATGACAGTGTTTCACCTTGGCTGCTGCTACAGTGACATGTGCTGATGTAGTTGCTTCGGGTTCATCTATTGGTCTGTCAGTATCACTAAGATGAAGTAGTGAGTGATGTCTTTTTCCACACTGAACACAAGATTTGGTACTCTTACATTGACTGGCTAAATGTTCACTAAAGCATAAAAAGCATCGATTTAAATCTTTTATAATTTGATGCCTCTCTTTAGGACTGTTTTTTTTAAACTGAGAACAGTGTACGAGTAAATGACCCGGTTGTAATTTACACACTTGACACGAAAACGACCTTTTCTCACGCGGGTCCTGTTGGCTAGTCTTTTCTGGTGAGCCATATGTTCCTGATTGGCTACTAAATAAGGTAGTCGGTTTGGTAAATTTACTTTTGGTACTACTTTTTTCATATACAGAATTCGTCGGTCCGGTCATGGCTGATTTACAAAATTTAGTCAAAAACACTATAAACTCTTTCACAGAAGGATCTTCGGTGGTATCTACAGATAACTCCCATTGAGCTCTAAGTTGTTGGTCTAATTTTTTCTGTAGCACGTGTAAGAGTATCGGGTCCCATTGGTCGACTGCGTATGTGAGATTTTCTAAGGCACCGATCGTTTCAGTAACTACATTAAGTAAATTTCGAATTGAAATACCATTTCCAAGGAAAGCTTTAGGTGCATTAAAAAATTCATCCAAATGACTTTCTGTAATGATTCGACGGTTGGAATATCTGGCTTTTAACTGGGATAGAGCTAATTCGTAATTCCTATCGGTCAACATAAGATTTCCAACCAGTCTTAAAGGTTCTCCTTCCAAGTATCGTTTTAAGTATCCGAACTTCAACACTGGTTTTATGTGTGGATTGTCGTGTATATAGATATCGAACATGTTACGAAAACTGGTGTATTCTTTTGGATCCCCTTTAAACTTTGGAATAGCCAACTTTTCAATCGGTAGAAAATTAGCCGGTGATACGCTAGGTTTCTGTTCAATAAAGGTATCGTTTAAACCTATGTGCGTATTAGATTCCGGTAGGTACTCATCAGCCAAAATCTTACAACCAAAGTAAACTGTTTCAAAGTCCTCTCGTAACTTATCAGCGTCAACCACTTCAACACCAGGTTTACCCATGTTACGAATAATAACTGATAACTGACTTCAAAATCGGTGTTTAAATTCTCCAAAGTGGCGTACATAATTCTAAATCTCGTTCTGTCAGTTTTTGTCGGTTCTTTCCCGACCATTACCTCTCCTGCATCATAGATACGTTTCGCTCTTTTCTGCAAGTCCGTGATACGTACTTTAGCTTCATCGTATACACCCATTACAAAAATTAACAAAATTCAATTATTTTTTTTTTTTAACAACGAATTTCCTGCGATTAATTTGACGAAGTAGGTACACTACAAACAATATTATTATATTATTGTACGTAATCGTATTGGATTTTTAATTACTTATGCTAATTGTTTTATTTTTTTTTAATACATAACAACAGCGGTGTGTGCGTGCAATGATTATTGCTACGCGGTTGACGATAGCGACCGTAGACTATTTCCGCAAAGGTTCAAAGTCCAATTTACCTAACTCGCGCTCGGTAGGTGTTATGCAACTGTTTTGTATACACTATCGCCGTAACCTTGGTCTTTATATGCTTTTTTTTTTTTTTTGTGAACTGTTCAATCGCTTAAGACTATTTTGCAAACTAAATATATCCTAGGCTCGACGGACCATAATGTGGGGTAAAACGGTAATTGTGGACTGTATGATGGGTATGGGTAACTTCTTCAAATAAAAATAAAAATGATGTGAGTGCTATGCCGGGTGACGGCTTACTATTTGTAAAGCAATAAATAATTTAAATCTGGGGCACAAATGTGCCGGCCGGCGTAGGGCTCTTAAAACTAATTCTTACAATAATTTTACAACTACAACAATAATATAAATTAATAACTCAATAAAAACCAGTGATACTTGACGATGAGGTGTGGGTGATGGTGAAACTGACGGTGTGGAGCGGGTGATGGTGAAACTGACGGTGTGGTGCGGGTGATGGTGACTTGACGGTGCGGTGCGGGTGATGGTGACTTGACGGTGCGGTAAAGGTTTGGTACCTGGTTGAAAAAAGTGATGCCTTCACTTTGCCCGTGTAGTAGGTACAAAAAAACACAAAGCACGTAACGCGACGGCAAGACTGTTTTCGCGGTAATGTACACGGTATCGGAACACGAACTCGACGTGCACGCGCATTGACGGCTAACCGGGAACAACTGATCGCAGCGGTGTAGCAAGGTAGGTCGGGCTGCAGTTTTTCTTATCACCGTTTGTTTTGGTGTAGGACGTCTGAACACTGAACACCCCCCAACCATTCATCTTCAACAATAGGTATAGTTTAAATACAATATATACAATTACCATAAATTACAATAAATGTTCATCATATTTTATTAACATAAAGATTAACAGTTACCTACATACAAGTATATTGTAACATTTGAACATTTTTAGGTAATAATTATATTATCATAAAAACATAATAATGATATAAATAGATAAAATTATTTTGACAACTTAACGAAATATTAATTACAAAATTACGATTATTATATTTTAACAAAATAAAACGTTCCATCCTTGCTTCGTTCTTATGGAAATAATTAGGTGGGATGCTCTCAAAATATAAAAAAATTTAAAGAGGAGGTCCAGTTCCCCCTGCGTTCTTTTCCAATTTAAATACTGTAGTCAGCATGTTTTAGTATGTTAAACATCTTGTATAAATTAAAACTCTTAGTAATTTTCCAATATCATAAGTAATAAGTACCCTAGTAAAGTAGTAACTAAGTATCTATATATTATCCACCTACATACGCTATTATTAACAACAGTAATTATACTAATTTTAAGTTGTTATATTTCCATACACTGTACTCGAGGCATTTACGGGATCATTACATCTTATAAATAAACAAATATAGATATACCTATTACCAGTGGCGTTGGGCGTTAATGTGTGAGGAAAACAATTAGGAAAACCCCCCTTATGGGAAATAAATTCGTATCAACTATTAATAATCAACATATTATTAAAACTATTTATTATATACTATGTTTTCGACGATCGGCGTTGCAGTCTTGCAGTATAGTATAGTGATGGGAAAAAATAACAGGAACAGTGATTTATAACAGTTATTACTCTAGTAACAATAACAAGCTGTTATTTGAGGAAAAAAATAACTGTTACGATTATTTTGATTATTTGAGTTTTTAAATTTGGTCTTACTGACTCCGCGTTATACTGTTAATACTGTTACTGCTGTTACTGGCTGTTACTGCGGTACCGCCCTTATTGTCTGTTAACCTGTTATCAATATTGTAAACTGTTACACTGTTATTAGTTGTTACTGGTTATTTGGTTATTGATATTTGTGACTGTGATATTTATTATAAAAACAAAAGTTGCTACTTAGTACTTTTAGTACTTATGTCTTATTGTTCATTTTTATTTGAAACATTTTAGTTTTTGGTATTTTCTATTTACTGTTTGTTTTTGATACTTGATAGTTGATACTTTGATACTGACATATTTATAACCTACAATCAAGAACAATAAATATAATATGTATATTATAAATTTTAATAGTAAGTAATACAGTTAATTATAAAATAATAAAGAATATCAACCACAAAGGCTCAAAATAATAATAATTAGTAGGCACTAGGCAGCTTCATACCTCTGTTATAGCTTAGAATTATAATTATAAAAGGTGTTCATAAAAATAATATCAATCAAGTACCTATGTAACTAAAAGTTAATTCATACAAATAATGAATAAAAAACTTATATAACTTATAAGCATAATTATTAATTATATCAATAACAAAAAATGTAATAATAAATAATAAACTATTTGTTATAGTATATAAAACCCTTATAAAACTAATGAAAAAAAAACAGAAAATCGTATTGTTTGCTTATAACTATAATAACCCTTGTAATCCTTTTAAGCGAAAAAATTGTATGTTATTTTTAAAAAAAATATGTTTTAATACCTGCTGTAATATAATAAATTCCATAAAAATAAAATATATAAATGGAGCAATCTTAATATTATCAAGAAATAAAATCATAATAATACAATTGGAATTTAAATTAATACTGTAATAGTTAATTTGAATTATAGTTGAGGAATAAAAGCATTTTAACTTTATCATTTTTCAGACGACAACGACGGTCATTTAAAATTAATCCAGCCTTCGAAAACACTCTTTCACACGGTACTGATGTACCTAAACAGCATAGTGTTCTTTTTGCTAATATGTGTAGATACGGATAGTTATAACTATTTTCACGCCACCAATTTAACGGATCGTTATTTCTTTGCAGTATAGCAACTTCTAAATAACGTTGGACTTCAATGATTGCACGAGATGTTGATGTTCCAGTAGGTAGTACCTCTGCTGCATTACGATCAATTGTATCCCAAATTGATATACTTTGATGTCCAAAAGTTTGCAAGTCCCGTACCTCTTCAGAACCATTCTCAGGTGGTGGAATTTGTTCATTACGTTCTGCTGTTTGGTTGTTTTCAATTCGAATAATCCCCGTCAATTGTTCAATGATATCATCTTTTGTGGTCTCAAGAATATATGTACTATGCAAAAAAGGTATATTTTTGAAACGAGGGTCTAAAAATGTGCTTCGGCGTAATGTTCTACTTTTTTCTAAATTTTTCCAGGTGTCTTTTTCAAGCATAGTACACAATAGCTTGTTTACAATATCAAGAACTCTAGTGTTATAATTCATTTTAGACATTTTATGGCATACATCAACTAGACCCTGAGACAAAACAATGACCAGTGAAGCTGTCATAAATTTTTCTCCGCTTACTACTCTGGTAGCTTCTTCAAAAGGCTTAAGTCCTTGGCACATTTCTTTTAGAATTACCCATTCTTCACCCTTAAGGTTTTCCGGCGCTTTATCCAGTAAACCTAATGTACCACGAATAGAATCCTCCAATTCAACAAACCTACTTATCATATAAAACGTTGAGTTCCAACGAGTCTGAACATCTTGAATCAATTTTTTTGGTTGACTGATGCCATTATTAATTTGATAAGTATGTAGTTTATTATTTGCCACAGTACTTTTTCTAAAATGTGTAACAATTGCCTTTACTCGATCTAACAAACTATTTTCCAGTGTAAGGGAAGATTGAACGACAAGATTCATAGTATGTGCAAAACATCCCATGGATTTAAGCTGTAATATATTTAATGCGTTTTTTATATTATTGGCATTGTCCGAAACAGCAAGAACAACTTTTTTTTTCAAATTCCATTCATCTAATGTTTGTTTTATTTTTTCACTTAAATTTACTCCTGTGTGATGATCATTAAATTCAAAACACCCAAGGAGAACTGAACGTAAGCTGAAATTACTATCGATGAAATGAATAGTGACAGCCATAAAACTTTCATTGTTACGAGAAGTCCAACAATCGGTTGTCATACAGACACTTTCAGCTTCCTTCTCAACCAACTCTTTCATTTCAACAACACATTTTTCATATAAAGCTGGTATATATGTTTTGGATATAGAGTGTCTATCAGGAAGAATATAGTTTGGATTTAACAGTTTCACAAATTCCTTAAACCCTTCATCTTCTACTACTCTAAATGGTTGGTAGTCTTTTGTAAATAATTTTAAAAGAGCCCCATCAATTTTTTTTTTACTATCAACAGTCATTCTTTTAGGAACATAACCAATTATGCTAGTTTGCTTACGTTTACGTGCAACTTCAGTTGGCCTCGACATACAAATACTGGCTGATGAAGATACAGGTGCCATTGATGATCCAGATGTAGAAGGTTGAGGATCACGAGTTTCTGAGTCGTCTGGATTGTCAATATTATCATGGTGTATGTTCTTAAAAATATAAATATAAACATTAAGTTAAATTACTTTTTATGCTTTTTTTGTTTATTATATTTATGATTGAAACTTACTTGATTTTGACTCACTGGATTATTGGCTGGTGAACAGTTTATTAAGTGTCGGTTGGATAAATGTTTTTTCAAATTTGTAAGTGTGGATTTATAGGAGTATTTACGTTTACAAATATCACATTTTGCGTGAATTCCATCAATTATAGTAAAATGTTCCCAAACACTACTATATCGATTATTATCCATGTTAATATAACTAATTACTATTTATTAATATGGATTTTACTAAAACAAAATGTAATTACAGAGATGGACTTGATCAGATCACAACTCAGAATACTTATGAAGAAAATAAAACAGACCAAATATGTCTTATCTGGTTTCTTTTTGCACAAAGTACAGACATGCGAGAACAGGAATACTTTTTTAGTTAAAAATATGTTCAAATAAAACCTATAATTACATGAAAAAATAAAATGACTATAAATAGAATCGTTTTAATTATTTGTGGTATTCATTGACATACAACAATGACTATTTTAGTTTCAGTTTCAGCTTATAGAAAACCATTAAATATTATATTAATAGATAATAATAATATGTAAAACTTTTATTATTTATGTAATTTAATAGAAAGAGTAGGAAAATTGAACTCTTAAAGTTATTTGAGAATATTTACATGATTATCCATATTTTCAGTCAATATTACCTTAGGAGAAGGAAAAATAAAATAAATAAACCATTTTATTCATAATAGGTATACTTTAATTTTCAATACATACTATACATAATAAATATAATATTGTGTTCACATTTTAGGTAGAATTATTTTAGTATAATATATTTTCATAGCTCATAATAAATAATTGATAGTCTATTATTTTTCTGTAATATTTATGGAACAAAATTATTTGTTGATTGTTTTATTTTTCAAAATTAATATTTTTTTAAATTATTAAATAAATATCCACATAAAAACATTTTTAGATTCTAAATTTCTGAATGGAGCATTGATTTAACTTTTTTTTGTTGTGTCTGTCGTCTGAAGACATTTTTTCTAGTAGAAATAATGCTCCAATCTTCAACATTGAAAAAGATTCCTGGTTGTAAATTATATCTAGTTTGTGCTTTGAAAAGTTCAAAAGTACAAAATTCTAATTCTACTTTATACATCCTCGAGAAAAAAAAAAAAAATCTCATCACTACATTTTAATAATATCATAATAATAATTAATTGGTCATCATGGTCCATATAACAATTTTTATTAAAAAAAATTCAATATTTTTAAAATTATTTTTTAATGTTTGGTTTTGGTACTTAATCTTAGGGAAACCTGTTTAATTGAATACAATGATTTATCATCGAATTCAAATTTATTATTACATCAGTTACAATGGCTTAAGTTCTCAATAAAAAGGTAAAATGGACACATACTGTACACTGTAGTACTGTACAGCAGAGCAGATAGTTACACATCTAATTGTACACTTTTTAAATAAATATAGCCTATATATATTTATACTCATATTATAATGAATAGTGACTGGTTTAATAATTGTACTTATGCACTTAATAGTTTCGAATGAGCGAATATTATTACCTATTTAGAATAGGTACCTACTACAGTACTACCTATGGTATATGATTAGGTGGTATACTACTATATATATGTACATTGTACTTGTGCAATAAAATATAATAAAGCCTTATAATTTAACTATTAAAATGTTTTTAATTATACTATATAGGTTAGCTGTTAAACTGAATACTGATAAACACTATATTAAATAATATATAGTATATACCGAAAAATAACACTATATAGTAACAGTAACAGCATTTTTCTAATAACAGTATTAATAAGTATTATACAGGAACAGAATCAATCATTATTCATTATTCAATAACAGTAACTGTTATTTTCACTGTTATTGTTTGAGTAACAATAACAGTTTGTAACAGTTACAAAAATTGATAACAAGTTGCCATCACTAGTATAGTACCTATGGGCTACGAGTTACGACGTAAACAGGATAACGTGCAGCCGCGACGATCCCCACTAACGGTCCAAACACAGTGTATAAGCTAGCGCTAGACTAGTGACTAGTGAGTAGTGGCTAGTCGCTAGTCGTTAATTTCATTTTCAACGACTTGGTCTAGTATTAACATGGCACCGAAGTTATCCGAAAATATCACGACAAATTACGAATATGAGATATTAGATACCACAAGTCGTTGTTCGAATCATTAACGTCCTACACGGCTACACCCTACACAAACACAACATAATACAATATTATTCCGTAATCGGCGTCGTAGCTGCAGACGGCGCGGGCGCATGGTCGAGTTTAGAGCTTAAAATAGACAATAGTTTATTATTTGATATTATTATTTTTACATGACAATTATTTTAAGATTTTGTAAATACAATAAAATTATATAACCATGTAATATACTAATATGAATTACAAATTACAATATTACACACATGTATGACATCAATGTTTTTGGCGTTAACACACAACTTGCACACCCAGAGAAAACGCCACTGCCTATTACCTACCACTGCAGTGGCACTGTACCTACGCATATACACACAACACGTGTGCATCATGCAGTGGCGGCGCCAGAACTTGAATACCAGGTGGGCCAGGCTGGGGCCCAAATTTTTTAGGGAGGGCCAAATTGTTGACTTGATATATATATATATATATATATATAAACAATAGTGACGACAGGCAATTTCGCAGAGGGGAGGGGGGAGGGTCAACTATTCCAATTTTTTTTACACTTCATCGTGTAAACTTACACTTAATGATTTGTAAACATGTATTGTATTAATAGTATTTATTTGCTAACAAAATATATATTCATGTAAACACTTTTTGATTTTTATGCTCCCTAACCCATAATTACACTCAATACCAATGAATATTTAATAATAATTTATTATTTTCGTATTTAGCCGCTGGAAAATGCACGTTATTTATGAGGCTTGAAAGCATATTATAGTGTATATAGTTTTCAACCCATTCAAAATGTTGTTCACGCCATCTATTATGACTTAATATTTTCATATTTTAATAAATCATGATTTATTCATGAGATATTTTTTAGTATTCTAATATGATTAAATTTAATTTTTGGGGTGGGCCACAGGGGGGCCGGAGACTTTTTAAGGTGGGCCGGGGCCCACCCTGGCCCACCCCTGGCGCCGCCACTGGCATCATGACAAATTAAATTAAATTTAATTTGTCATGGTGTGCATACAGTGGCGTGGTGAACTGAAAATTGTCCGGAGGCAAGTTACAAATATCCCAAATATTAATGCATAATGATGTGTTAATCGATAGATCTCGCTAGAGAGCGTTCTGCGCTTTACGGCGGCCCGGTGTCGTACTGTCGTAGCACAGAGTGAACAGAGAGATATATATAGTTATTATAGTAGTATATACAGGAAATAGTATATACAGGAATAGTATATACAGGAAAACGGACGATATTTTGATTTTTACATGCAACGTATATGGAGAACGGTCGAATTTACTAGTTTTTCGCTTTCGCAATACCGCGTTGAGTTGTGACGATATGCGCATGCGTGAGTGCGTGAACTTGGTTGCACGGCGGCGCGGCAGTGTGGCATACGCGCAACGTGCTTCCTACTCCTATTACTATTTAGTATTTACTAATTTACTATTTCATTTGCTCGCTAGCCGTCCGGCCGCCGTGCTGCAGGTTGTGTATAGCCATATTGTCCGTCCGTTCGATTATTATTTATTATTATCCGTACGGCGTACATTATAAGTTATTACAATAACAGTGATAAACGTACCGACGGTCGGCCGTATGTTAATCTTTCTCTGCTGTCTCGCGGAGTCCGTATTTTATGCAAGTACTGCATAAACTACTAATATCAGTCAAGTCGTTGACGACAGACTAGTTGTGATTAATTCAGTGTCCGGTGTAGAAGAGTGAAGGGGGAGGTTGACCGTAATATTATTTATTTATCGCTTACGCGCACGCGTTGACTTGTCTTTACTGGAGCGTACTGCACTACTGCTCGGTAGTCGGTGCTCATTAGCGACCCTCGAGCCGTGAGAGCGCTGAGGCTGAGGGCAACACGTTAAGAGGACGCTACACCCGCATGTGTTGTCTCCGTCTTACACACGTACGACATAGACAAAACGCGTTTAGGCAGTCTGAGTATAACTCGCTCAATTTTGGTTCTAGAGTAGAAATACCTATTATGAAATTGAATTGTGATAATATTTCTAAGGGCAAGACGCTGCGGTTTTTTTAAAAAATTTAATTTTTTAAAAGTCAAAGGTATTTTAAAAATGGTGAAATTTTTTCTATTTCTAAACGATATAATGAACGTTATATTGGGTATAATGGAAAAACCGCAGCGTCTTGCCCTTAGAAATATTATCACAATTCAATTTCATAATAGGCATTTTTACTCTAGAACCAAAATATTGAGCGAGTTATACTCAGACTGCCTAAACGCGTTTTGTCTATGTCGTACGTGTGTAAGACGGAGACAACACATGCGGGTGTAGGCGTGTAGCGTTCTCTTAAATGTTTGTTTGATCTCCAGTTTCCACTCGGCACTCGACTGTTATTCGAATATACAGTTTTATATTATTAGTATATATTAGTATATTATATTATTCTATATTATTAGTTCTATACTATATTATTATTATTATACACTTATTTCATAAATTTGAAATAGAACAATTTAGTATTACTCTTTTCACTAATATGGACTGGATTTATTCAAAAGAACAACTCGTAGATCAGATTCAAACTCAGAATATAGCTCTTCATGGAGATCATATTATAATGTTCTTCCAATATTTGCTTCAAAAAAATTTTAATTATGAATTTTTTTGTTCTAATAATGAATTACAAGTTCCTGAAGCAATGGTGGACATGGTAGCACTTAATTCCAATCAGAAACATATCCAAATACTATTCAAACCTTTGAGTTACATAAATATAAGTGGAATGGGACATTGGGTTTGTAGCTATTATGACACGCAAAATATTTTCATATATGATTCGGCAACAATAAAAACCGGTCACATAAATTATGATAAAGTGTTGCATAAACTATTTCCTAGTTATTTTTTGAAAGGTGGTGTTGTCTTAATAATAGTGTTTTGAATTTGAAACTAAAAAATGATGGCAAGACTTCACATGACTTCAAAGAACTTATGAACTTACAGCAATCTATCAACAA